CCCCGCTGCCCGCCAACACAAACTGCAGATTGGTGAGCAGCACCTTAATGCCTCTGGTGACTGTGACAGTGGAAGTGGCAGGGTCCAGCTTGTAGGTGTTGGCATCCCCCTTTTTATATCGATCCCGAAAAACATAAATGCTCCCATTACAGCTAGCGATCTTCCAGAGGGGTGGAGTGGAGCTCCAGGCCTCAGGAAGGCAAAGCCGGGTAAAGCTGTCTAGCAGGGGATTGTAGCAGACCAGGGCGTCCCCTTCAGCCACGATGAACACCAGGTCCTTATGCACGGCGGCATGCATGCGGCCGGCAAAGGGCAGCACATAGGGCTTCATGTAGCACTTGTCTGTCTCCGTGTCAAAGCACTGGATGAGTCGGGAAGGTTTGGTAAAGAAGTCCAGGTCATTCTCCTCCCCCCCGAGTAAGTAGATGATCCCGTTGAGATTGGCTCCAGCAGCCCCTGACACAGCCACCTCTAGCTGTGTTGTCTCTATCCAGATGTTATAATCTACCTGGTAATAGATAACTGCATTGGAGAGGGTATCCTGCAGTGTCTTGCCACCCAGTGAATATATAGCATCTCTAGCGGGCACAGACACCATGGTGTGCTGGAGCCGGTCCCGGGGTAAGGGCGCACACCACTCCCAGTCCACAGTGGCGTTGTTACACTTCCACATGCGCCGTGGGATGGACCCTCCTACCACGTACAAGTCGCCACCATGCTTGCAGGCTGCAGTGATCTGGTGGCACAAACTGTTTTGGCCACGTACACTGATGGAGTCATCTTCAGCACAATGCAAGGACACAGCCAATGAGTGGGTACGAGATGGCTCTTTCCCGATGAGATAAATGTGCACATTCTCCCCAATTTCCTATTGGAAAAATTAAAATTATAAGTGGTATCTACCGATTCTAGGCTAAGGCTCAGCTTAGACGCAATGCTTTAAGGTCTTAGGCCACACACTTGTATTTTGCTCTAGCCTGCTCCCCTCCGGTTTCTGTGTGTCACCCTGACTCTCCTCCAATCACTTTTCAGGCATTTTATGCCGGGGCGGAGAATCTGTTGCACTCATCCTCTCAGCTTCTTAAAACTATCATGAGCTGGTGATTCAGACAAAGGGTGCTTAGGATTCTTAATGCGGTGATGAAAGTAGTTCCATCAAGGAGCTTTGGAGCTCAGAGGCACACATATCCTTCTCCCCCAGCTCCTATCAGCTTCAAGCCAGAGACAATCACCATCAAAATGGCCAGCCCAATTGACGGGTGTAATACATGGCTAGTATAGTGTCCCAATCCAAAGAAATCTGCCTTACCTTCAAGCTACTCTTGAGTGACTCTGCAAAAGACTCTCTTTCCTCTTTATTAAAATTGATCCAGGCTTCTATTGCCTCTGTTGGGTTCTGGGAACACGGAACTCCATCTGTTGAGACCCAAAGGAAAGGCATGGTCAATGGCACTCTGACAATCCAAAAGGGAGATCTAGAGCCAGGGACTTTAAATATATGAATCACTTTGTTAGACTACCACCATGTATGTATGTGTACATGTATGAGAAAATCTCAAATTGCCTTTTAATCAAAAATGGGTGGTTTGATATACTCCCATTTGCCACAGAAGCAATCTAATGGGCGGCAGAACTCACACCTAAAGAATGTGTATATCTCACTTGCAGTATCAGGATTGTAACCTAAACTTGGCCAATCACTTAAAATATTTTTTAGGGCCCAGCCGGCATGGCTCAGTGTTGCATGTCAACCTATGAACCAGGATGTCATGGTTTGATTTCCAGTCAGAGCACATGCCCAGGTTGTGGGCTTGATCCCCCGGGGGGGGCGGGGGGTGTGTGTGCAGGAGGCAGCCAATCAATAATTCTCTCTCATCGATGTTCCTATCTCTCCCTCTCCCTTCCTTTCTAAAATCAATAAAGATATATTTTTTAAAAAGTTTTTTTTTTTAGGTATCTTGACTTATCCATCATTCATCATAAATTTACTTAGGTAACAGGTACATGCAGAGTGCAGGATAGATAAGAACACCTATGGCCCTAGCTGGTTTGGATCAGTGGATACAGCGTTGGCCTGTGGACTGGAGGGTCCCAGGTTCGATTCCAATCAAGAGAACATACCCGGGTTGTAGGGGGCGTGCAGGAGGCAGCCAATCAATGATTTTTATCATTGATGTTTCTATATCTCTCCCTCTCCCTCTCTGAAATCAATAAAAATATATTTAAAATAAGCAAAAAACAGAAATGGAAAAAAGAACACCTATGCACAGGGGAGATTAGAGTATACATACAAATACTTCACTACCTTCTGCTTTTCTTTTCCTGGAATCTTCCTCAAAAGAGACTCTGTCTCTGACAGCAGCTACACTAAATCTCAACTCAATTTCCTTCAGAAGATACCTAAATTCCCACCAATACCGTAAACTAACACCAGGAAGCCTGATGGTAGGGTTTCTTTCTCTTGAACTAGAACATGCACTGGGTATGATATGCCCCCTCCCTCAACTTACCGGAGATGATATCGGTGAGTAGGTGGTGGGGCAAGTGGAGAAATTCCTCTGTGTCCTGCAGCTGGGCTAGGTGGGCCTTGGCACAGTGCTTGGCAGCAGTGTAGAGCTCAGGATCACTGTGCCGATCTGCCAGCCACATCACCTGAAGGCAGTTCCCCACCTGCACTGTGCGGGCCAAAAACCGAGAACATTCCTCAAAGAGAGCTGTCAGCTGATACATATCTGACACCTCATAAATTTCCTGCAGCTCATCAGCTCTAAGTTTCACAGTCCCATGGTAGATATAATCAACCAGGAGCTGGAAAACAGACTCACTGACATCCTGCAGCACAATCACCCGGTTGTGGGCCTCCTTCAGGTTGGAAGTGAACATGGACCGGAAGAAGCAGCTTTGAGCTGAGAGGACCAGCCGGTGGAGCTGAAACTCCCGGCCTTCCACTGAAATGGTGACGTCAGCAAACAGCTCTTCCTCCAGACACAGCTTCATGATGCCCTGAGCCACACGGCCTGAGTGTGACCGATCTTTGAAAGTGTAGTTCACAAAGTAGTTCTCATCCATGAATGCTCCAGGCTCCTCGGGTGATTCCATGGTAGCCAACTTCTCTCTCTGCCAGTTGTCTGCAAAGTGACACCACCCTCAATAACCAGGAATCCACAGCCAGAGTCCATGAATCAAATGGTGCAATTCAGAGGGAGAAGGAAAAAGCGATTGTTAACAAAGTGGGCCCAGATTGTCCTTAATTCTGGCCCGGCCAATAACATCTCTGATGATCTCCTTCAACTACAGCTGGGTTCATTCTGCAATGGCACCCCAAACCTACTAAAATCAATACAATTTCTTACTATGGGTGTTTCCTTTCCGTGATGTAACAAAAGGCCTGGAATTTTTGGTCAAGGCATGAAAACAAGTGGTTGGAGTAAGCCAATTATCTTAAAAACCTGGCAAAGAGCCTTCAAACCAAATAACTACTGGGTATAAAACTAGCGAGGTTCTGGAGAGTAGAACCAGGCAAAAAACACCCCCCAAATCCTTGTGTCCAGATAGACGCTCTCCCTCCCCCGGCGCTCGCATGTATTCCAGGCCTTCCACTATGAGGCTTGGCGGGGACATCTGTCAGCCCCACATCTGCTCTTTTCTGAGTTTCCCTCTCGCATTTCTCAGTTCGCCGTAATCACTCCCCAAGGCTCCGTCCCAGAACTCAGACAGAGCCAGTCGTCCCAAGCCCAGGGCACAAGGAGGCCCATTGCCAGGTGCAGTGTCGCCGCTCCACCTGGAGTCGGCCTGGGCACGGGAAACGGTCGCCGGGGAAACCGTCCTCTGTCCTCCGCCCCGCCGCCCCCAGGCCCGCCAGCCCCGTCAAAAGCTTAGCTAAGGAAGCGGAGAAGGGGTGTGGAATGTGGAACCCAGAACCCCGCCCCTTCCCCTCCTCTCACCGTTCCGATTCTTGAGGGTCCTCGCCTTCTTTCCAGATTCTGCCACACTAAGCTAGGGCCACGTTCACCTCACGGTTTTCCCACCAGCTTGCCCTGTTTTCTCACCTGCTTCCCTTCCTATCATTCGGAAGCCCGGATCCCGGAACCTCTGCTTTTGGCCCGGCGTCCGCCCGGAAGAAAATATAAGGCACACTTCCGCTTCCGGTCCGTGCCCTTGTGGCTCCGTGTCCTGGTCCTGTAGGTCTTGCCTTTGCTGCTTGGTCTGCATCTGGGGATCATGGCGGCCGCCGCTAGGGCCTGGTGTCGAGGGCTCGTGGGGGCCGTGGCGCTTCCCAGGGGTGAGCAGGGGATGACCGGATGAGGCTCGGGGCAGGAGGGCGGGCGACCAGCGCAGGGAGCCCCCCAGGCCTCACCCTGCGCTCCTGTGCCTTTTATCTCCCCGTGCAGGGGTTGGACGACCCTCCGCGCTGTTGCTGCCAGTGAGGAGGGAAAGCGCTGCGGCCGACAAGCGCCGTGAGTATGTGCGGCCCGGCCCTTCTCGGGACTACGGGCGGGGGCTCCTCATTCCCTTCGTCATGTTTGTCCTTGCTCTGGGATGCCCTTCCCTGCGGCCTGGCAAGTCTACATGTCCTTGGAGAGCTGACTGCTACGATCCTCACTCTGCAGGCCGAATCGGGCCCTCTCTGTTATGTCCATGATTGCCTCCTCGTCCACTTCCGTGATTCTCTTGTTCTGATTAAACTGCCAGCTGTTTGAGAGCAGGAAACATAATATTTGGGCCTTTGAGCCCAATATAGAGCCTGTTGTCATAGTAGCTCACATTGAGTGCTTATTGTGTGCCAGGCACCTGGGAAGTGTTTTTATGAATGGTCTTAAAGTCCTCACAACAATCTCATGAGGTAGATAGTATTTTCAAACTATGAATCAGGCTGGAAACAGTTCAGAGAAATAACTTGCTCAGGGTTACAACACTATTGAGTGACAGAGCAGGCCTGCTTGCTGCCAGAGGCAGAGAACAAATAGCCATTACCCTGCAGTTTATGCTGTTTGGGTGTTCAGTGATTAGGTTGCATGAATGACTGTATAGAGATACGTTATAGACAATATAAGCCAACTGTGAGTCAGGAGACCTGGCATTTCCCCCGTTTTGGGTCTCAGTTGCTTCATCTATGCACAAAAAAATAAGGTTCAACTGGAGAGTCTGTGAGAGCTCGTAAGCCCTGAAGTTCTTCCTTGAGAGCCTGCTATGAGCCAGGTGCTAAGGAGATGCACAGGAGCAAACGTTCTGGCTCCCACCCTTATGGAGTCTGGTAAGAGAGCGGAGACATATGTTGCTTTAACAGAAATGCGGGCTTTATGAAGGGAAGAACCATGGAGTAGTTTTGAGAAGAGGCAAACATGCCAGCTTCAATAGGCGAGTCTTTGCGGACTGTGTAGGTGGCATTTCCCCTAAGGTTTCATCACTTCCTATTCCCTCCATCCTCACCTTTCTCAGAGTTCCACAGGGAGCCTCTTATAAGCCCAGACTGGATTGGATGCAGGGCTGGTTGCTGTCTTTGCCATTTGTTTGTTAAATATGCCTTCTCCTTTCAGCCACTGTAAGACCACGGAATGATGTGGCCCACAAACAGCTCTCAGCTTTTGGAGAGTATGTGGCTGAAATCCTGCCCAAGTATATCCAACAAGTTCAGGTAATGTTCAGTACTGTTGTTTGGCCGGGGTCAAGAAAGCACCATATTCTCAGGTCATGTGGGAGTGGGCAGCCTGGAATCAAAACCCACAGATTCTGCCCAGCCAGTGTGGCTCAGTGGTTGAGCATCAACCCATGAACCAAGAGGTCACTGCTTCAATTCCTGGTCAGGGCATATGCCTGGATTGCAGGATTGATCCCCAGTAGGGCTGTGCAGGAGGCAAACGATTGATGTTTCTCTCTCATCAATTGTTTCGCTTTAAAATCCTGTCCCTTCCCCTCTCTAGAATCAAGAAAAACATATTTTTTAAAAAGCCCCACAGATTCCTCCATCCCAACTCAGGTTTCTTTCTCTGCCTTAAATCAGAGAATCAGCTGAAGTTAGTTGCTCCCTTGGTAGCTCTGTGTTGTCTCTACCTCCTGGTCCATGTCTGCAGGTGTCCTGCTTTAATGAGTTAGAGATCTGTATCCACCCTGATGGAGTTGTTCCAGTGCTGACTTTCCTCAGGGATCACACCAATGCTCAGTTCAAATCCTTGGCTGACTTGACAGCAGTGGACGTCCCAACCCGGCAGAACCGTTTTGAGGTCAGTCAGGAGGTTTGAGAACGGTTTTTGGGGGTAAAGGAAGGAAAGGGAACAGAACACTTTTAGACTAAGAGTTGCCAGTAGGAACCATTGCCTTCTTAATTTTAGTTGGGTCAAACAGCTTAACAAAACAGTTAAACTAGAGCCTCAGAATCAGGCAGGCCTCGAGTGTAAATCCTGGCTCTGCCATTTATACACTGTGTGAATATTTTGTTTAATCTTTTTTTGACTTTTCATTTTCTTTTGGGCAGAATAAGTATAAAATTGTCCCTAACTCAGGGTGATTGTGAGGATTTAATGAGATAGTACAGGTAGATTGCTAGCACACAAGTTTCAATGTATTTAACTATTGACATTTACTGATAATATACTATTTGCCAGATCCTGGGATAGAGAAATAACACCCAATAACTGCCTTCCAGGAGTCCCTCAAACTCTAGTTAGGAAGGATACATAAACAGCTTAGTGTAATAACATATGGCACATGGTATGTTAAGGATGTGCTATAATAATGAAGGAGAACCACTTAGCCCTGTCTGGAGGCTTCTTTGAAGGGAGAGAGAATGTTTGTGCTGGGTCTTAATGGATGACCAGAAGACTAGGAATTAGTCCAGTGAGGATTGGGATTGGGGGAGATGTGGTTTGGAGACATCCTAGACCAGTGATGGCGAGCCTATGACACGCGTGTCATAGGTGACACGCGAACTCATTTTTTTGGTTGATTTTTGTTAAATGGCATTTAAATATATAAAATAAATATCAAAAATATAAATCTTTGTTTTACTATGGTTGCAAATATCAAAAAATGTCTATATGTGACATGGCACCAGAGTTAAGTTAGGGTTTTTCAAAATGCTGACACGCCGAGCTCAAAAGGTTCGCCATCACTGTCCTAGACAAAGGGAATAGCAAGAACAAAGACAAGTATGCCGACTGCTGAGCAACTACATGTTAGTGTGGCTTAGGCCTTTGTACAGCAGGATCTTGAGGTTTTGAGCTTCAGGATAGAAGGCAGACTTATCTAATTCACCTTGTGTCGTCATTGATATTCCCCCTCAGGGACTTCAGCTTGTGGCCATCTTGGTCCTCCATTTCCTCTGTTCTCCCTAGATTGTTTACAACCTGCTGTCTCTGCGCTTCAACTCCCGCATCCGTGTGAAGACCTATACAGATGAGCTGACACCCATTGAGTCCTCCGTCTCTGTGCATAAGGCAGCAAACTGGTATGAGAGGGAGGTGAGTTACTGGGCATGGCGGACCGTGCTTCTGAGCCAGAGTTGCAGAATTGGTTGGAACTACTGTGGGCAGCACAGCCCCTTACCCCCATGTTGGCCATGATGGACTGGTTGCCCGAGGGCCTCTTTTTTCTAGATCTGGGACATGTTTGGAGTCTTCTTTGCTAACCACCCTGACCTAAGAAGGATCCTGACAGACTATGGCTTTGAGGGACATCCTTTCCGGAAAGACTTCCCGCTGTCTGGCTACGTTGAGGTAGGAGCCTTGGAACTGTGATAGCAGCCTCAGGGAAGGACTGGCAGGGAACCTGGGGGATCTTGGGCATGGCAGGAAATACGGTTTGTGGATTGTGGTGGTTTAAGAGCATTGGCTCTGGATTCAAATCCTAGCTCCACTTTTATAATTTGGGGCAAGTTACAAATTTCTCTATGACAGTTTTACTCATCTGTGAATTGGGAACAATAATAGTACTTAACCAATAAGATTTGCAGTGTTCTAAATGATGTATGTGTAATACCTGGTGTACTATAAATGCTCAGTTGATACTAGCCATTATTGTAGTAATCATTTGAATGATCAGGGCAGCCTTGAGAACACAGAGTCTGTCCCCAAGATCTGAAAGTGGAATGTCATTTTACCCTACCCTGGATCTCTGAGAAGGAAGCTGGCAGGGAAGACACTGAATATTCAGCCTTTGAGAATGGCCAGAGGCAGGACCAGTAACATCCTATCTAATCAAGAGGGAATATGCTAATTGGCCCTCACACTGTTGCAAAGATGGTGGCGCCCATAGCCAATAAGGAGGGAATATGCTAATTGACTGCCCCACCCTCAAAGATGGCAGCACCCACAGGCACAAGATGGTGGTTCCCAGTCCCCTCAGGCCCGCAGGGGCAGCAGTCTCCCAGCAAGGCCGGGCGCACCCCCAGGAGAGCCCGGCCACTCTGCACACCTGCCTCTGGAGTCCCCTAGTCCCCTCAGCCCCCCAGCCGCCCAGGGCCGGCTGAGGCTTGCACTGCCGGCAGTGGCAGCAGCAGGGGTGTGATGAGGCGGTGCCTTCCCCTGATCGCCTCCCACCCAAGGGCTCTTGGACTGTGAGAGGGGGCAGGCCAGGCTGAGGGAACCCCCGTCCAGGGCATGAATTTTCATGCACCGGGCCTCTAGTGTGACCATAAGAAGTCAGTGCTTTGCTTTACCATCCATGTGCTGCAGGTTGGTTGTCAGCAGGGAGATGCTCTATTGTGTACGTTAACACCAGTGATTTTGTAGCAAAGTGACTTAGAAATACCAAGGTAGTGGCAATCCAGCCCTTCTCTTTAGTGCCAAATGCTCCTGTTAGTATTTTGCATGGATCCCTTTCCTGCTCAAGCTACTTCTGGTCAGGGTTACTTCCCTCTCTTCTCCCTTTCTTTCACCCCTACTGTCCCCCTAATTTGGACTGCCTCTTAACCCTAGCACTTGTTTGTTCTTATCCAGCTGATCCTCCAATAACAAGAAAAGCCATGCCAAATTGATTGCCTCACATCTTTTATTTTTTTGATGGCTTCACATCTTGACACCGATAATGCCAAGGCCCCAAGACCTGAACTTGAGTGCCTGCCAGTTAGGTGTACTCTTTTCAGCCACTGACTTGCTCTCTAATCCTGGGCAAATTCTTATAAAGTGTGTGGATGGGTGAGCAAATTCAGTTCTGCCGGAAAGAGCTCATAATGGGATGGTGGGCAGGTGAGCCTGACTGGGTGATGCCAGGGCATGAGACAGGGCATTTTGGACTATGGTTAATCAGTAACAGGTGTGGATGGAGATTTGAAACAGGCTGGGACAGGAATCAAGAATAGAGAAGTAAAGGGGCTGGCATGGGGGAGTGGGCTGCTTGCTGGAACAAGGCCTGGCTCCGCGCACAAACCTGCCTTTTTCTCCTGCAGTTACGCTATGATGATGAAGTGAAGCGTGTGGTGGCTGAGCCGGTGGAACTGGCCCAAGAGTTCCGCAAGTTTGACCTGAATAGCCCATGGGAGGCTTTCCCTGCCTATCGCCAGCCCCCTGAGAGTCTCAAGCTTGAAGCCGGGGACAAGAAACCCGAAGCCAAGTAACTCCAGGGAAGGCATCTGGATCCTAGAAAGCGCCTTATCTCTAATTGAGTCTGTGTAAATAAAGTCCTACTTAGACTTGCCATTTCCTGTGTGCTTATCAACATGAAGGTTTTACTCAGGAGAGGGGAGATGGCAGGCAAGAGTTTTCCCTGCTGACTACCAAACCGGGAGTCTGTTTTAACGGGACTGAATAGTGCAGTTACAGATGTGGTGACCTGCAGCTGAAATTCAGAGCTCATACAGCACACAGGCCTCAGGGTGGGTGTGGCATGGCCTCTAGCAGGGTCTCAACAACTGCTGGAGAAAGCCCATGTCTGGCAGTAGCTTGTGTGTCCAGGGGCCTGGGTGGAACCAGGAAACCACTATCCACCCTCATTCCATCCAAATATCCACAGGGTTCCATGAGCTCCTTTTTGAGTCTTGAACCCTGCAACCTGACAGCCCGTCACGCTTGATCTAAGGGAATCTTCCTAAACCAGTGATGGTGAACCTTTTGAGCTCAGCGTGTCAGCATTTTGAAAAACCCTAACTTAACTCTGGTGCCGTGTCACAGACATTTTTTGATATTTGCAACCATAGTAAAACAAAGACATATTTTTGATATTTATTTTATATATTTAAATGCCATTTAACAAAGAAAAATCAATCAAAACAATGAGTTCGTGTGTCACCTCTGACACGCGTGTCATAGGTTCGCCATCACTGTCCTAGGCTGGCCTGAGTCAAGAATGTTGTAAACAAGCAAAGGAGGACCCAGGGCTGAGGCAAATGCCATTCGGGAGCCGCAGAGCTTCCAGGGGATGGGACTCCCCACGGGAGCAGGTCTGGACTCTGTGCAGCTGGTCTGGCCGAGTGCCTGAGGTGGAAGTGCTTGGCTTTGCCTGCCCGCGGCACTGTCCAGTCAGTCGGGGATGCTTTTGTAGGACTGAGCTTTGCAGCTGATGCTCTTGGCTGCTGAGGGGCTCCCTGGAGGCTGGGCTGGGGACTGGGCGTCAGGAGTTGGGCTCATCTGCAGGATGTTTTGGGTATGAGGACAGATAAATAGTAAGGTAGTATTATGGCCTGGGCTCTTCCCTACCTTTTAGGAGGGCCAAGCTCAAGCTGTTTGCTACCCAACACCTTTTTTCTATTAAATAAAAATCTGGCCCATCTGGGTAGCAACAGCCTCCTGCTGCCAACAACCAAGGATTTCACATTTCTACGGGATGGAAAGAGCCTTGGGAAGCCAGAGCCAGCTCCTCCCTGTTTTGCTTTGAAGACTGACACGCAAAGCAGGGAACACTTGAGCAGCCTGCAGTGGAACGCCGGAGCCACGGTGTGTGGCAGACGGATGCAGGAGCAGAGAGCAGCCAGGGAGAGCAGAACTCGGAGGACGTGGTGGGGCATGGCGGGGAAAATTAAGTTCCTGGCTTGGCTAATGGTAGCCATCTGCCTCCTCCCTGGGTTGACTACAACCCAGCGTCACGAAGGTACCAGGGCTTCAGGGTGGGATGGGTAGGAACCAAGGAAGGCTGCGGGCTAATAGCAGTTACAGTTGGTTCTGAGCCTAGCAGGGCCTCGGGACTGTGGGCTGACATGTACTGCAGAGGTTAATGGCGTGGGCCCCTCCCCTAGAGCAGGAAAGGCCCAGGTGAAGTGAAGGGAGATAAACGTAGGTGCTGACCCTGGACAGAGCTGGGCTTGGGCTTATTCTGGTTGATGCCTGAAGCAGTTTCCCTTGATCTGCCCTGGGCTTGGAACAATCATTTCAAGGATGGGTGCATCCTGGGGTGGGATGAAGGAAGCTGTAACAAGACATTCTGCCTTGCCTGGTCTCCCTGCCTTGCATACCATCACTACTGAGGAGTAAGGAGGGAGCGGGTTCTTTCCAAAAGGGGTCCTCAATCTTCGAGGAAGGTCAGTTTTAGGTTACACTGTAAACCAGATGATAGGGAGGGAGGGGGAGTGGGAAGTAAAGTGTCTCGTGACCCGTTGCCCTGGAGCTCTTGGCCAAGGGAACTGCGAAGTTCAAGGAGTTCTGGACATTTGCTGAGGTTGTATCTGGGTTTGGGATGATGGTCTTGGGATAAGACCTATGCCTGGGGTGGTAAATGTCAATGTGTGTATGTGTGTAGGGAGTGTGGGGGTGGAGGGGAATGGAATGGCAATCCTACTCTTGCAGCTAAAGCCTAGACACTCTCACAGGCAGCTAAGGGGCACTTCTGGGAAGCTGGGTTGTTTAGGACGGAGCTTGGCAGGGGCCTGACTTCTCTCTGCTGCCCCAGGGCAGCCCACGGACAGCACCAGCGTGGCAGGTGGCCTGCAGGAGCCAGAGGCCCCGGAAGTGATGTTTGAGGTCTTTCCTCCAGCTTGGGACATGGGGGTGGGGGTGCAGTGTCCAGAGGTCCCTAAACTCAGAGTTGGGAAGGGGGATGTCTCAAGCTGGGCTTGCTGGGGGAGGGGGGCAACCCAGCATGGGGCCTACTGCCTGCTTATGCTCCCCTGGCCCACTCCAGCTCCCTACCCTGCCCCGGAGCTCAGCCCACTCCTTACACAGCTCCCCTTGCAGCTGCTCTGGGCCAGGCTGGAGCTGGATGTCACGGGGCAGCTGCACATCCAGGACGAGGAACTGGCGTCCACACGTCCAGGCCGCCGACTCGAGCTCCTCCTGCAGCACCACGTGCCCAGTGACTTGGAGGGTGCTGAGCAGCGGCTGCAGCAGTTCCAGGACCTGCGGAAGGGGCCTCCTCTTAGCCCCTGGGATTTTGAACATCTGCTCCTCACCGGCCTATCCTGTGTCTACCGGCTCCACAAGGCTCTGGAGGCTGAGGAGAGGGGTCGCTGGGCCCAGGTCTTTGCCCTCCTGGCACAGGAAACACTCTGGGACCTGTGCAAAGGCTTCTGCCCCGAGGGCCAGCCTCCTTCTTTGGGGCCCTGGGCCTCAATCCTTGACCCCTTCCCCTGACCCTCCCCTTTCACCTATCAGCCCCCTAATTCCCACCCCCAAGCCAGACTCATCCTGGGCAGGGGCTTCCATAGGGCACCTGGTTCTTCGCACCGTGTTCAGGTCCTTGGGCTTAGGGCTGCACCCTGGACCATGCTTACCTCTCTCCCGTCTTCTTCCCTGGGCCCTGACAGGCAAAGAGGCCAGACTCTGGGTGCCAGGCAGCAGGTGCAAAACTAAAGGCAGGACTTGCAGACAGTGTGCGTGGTATGTGTGATATGTGTGTGTGTGCATGGTGTGTGTGTGTTCTGCGTAGGGTGTGGGATGTGTGTATGGTGTGTGTGTGCGTGGGATGTGTGTGGGGTGTATGGTGTGTGTGGTGTGTGTGTGGTCTCTGTGTACGCATACATTGTGTGCGTGGGGTGTGTGTGTGGTGTGTGTGCATGGGGTGTGATGTGTGTGTTCTTGTGCATGGTGTGTGTGGTGTGTGATGTGTGTACGTGTGCGTGGGGTGTGTGTGTGGTGTGTGTGCATGGGGTGTGATGTGTGTGTTCTTGTGCATGGTGTGTGTGTGGTCTGTGTGGTGTGTGATGTGTGTGGTGTGTGCATGGGGTGTGTGTGTGTACATGTGCATGGTGTGTGTGTGTGATCTGTGTGGTGTGTGATGTGTGTGTGTTGGGGTCAGGACTGAGAAGTGTGTTTTAAAAGATGCTGGAAGGGAAGCTGCCCCTAAGTCAGGCCCCGGCCCTCCCCTGGCGTCCCTGAGGCCCTGGGCATCCGGGGGCCTTCTGAACGCTCCACACCCGTCTCAGCACCCCCTGAAGCCCAGCCACTGCTCCGGCCCTGAACCTCCACGTCCCCCCTGGGTGGTTCTGTCTGCTGGGAGTGAAGGGAAGCGGGTGGAGAAATGCACATTTTCTGGGCGGAGGGATGTGTCGGGTCCACCTCACCCAGCCCGCGGTGAGCGGTCGGAGGAGGGAGCGAGGCTGGGAGGGGATGGACAGCGCAGGCCGAGCTGGCGGGGAGCCCCTGATCCCGTGTCCTCCCACCCTCCCCATAAAGTGTTCTGTTCCGGCCTCCTGGGTCCTGTCCTGAGCCGATCGCCCTCCGAATGCGGGCCGCAGGAGGTGGGCACCCAGGTGCCAGCTGCACCTTTCACCCCCGGGCCGGAGGAGGCATGCCAGGTGGACGCCACGCTCCCAGAGGAGCCAGGTATGGCCGTCAACCACCCGCGGACCAAGAACGGAAGGCCCGCGGGGAGGAGTGAGACAGGGACCGACCCGAGAGGGACACGCACGGGAGGCCCACAGCGGGTCGGATGTGTCGGGTTCAAATTCTCCTCTCACCTCCCCAGGCCT